AATAAAAAAATTATATATATATATATATATATATATCATTTTTATTTATAATTTAATGATACAACAAATACTGCATGAATACATGATTTTATTTATTTATACTACAGTACTGAGGATACAAAATGTTTTGAATTAAACTAATTAAATGTAGGGAGAAATGTGCTAAAGATGTTACAAAATATTATATGTTTTAATTGAATCATTGTAATATGACCTGGACATCTTCTTGTTTCATCCTTAAAGAACATTATATTGAACATTAATTATAAACCTCGGGAAGCTTGTATTATGATGTATGTTAAATTGAGCTAACACGAACTTTGACCCTTCCAGCCACGAGGCAGCCTGGCATGTGTCACCACGAGAGTGAGTTTCAGTGCCAGTCAGACGGCAGTTGTGTTCCCTCAAACTGGGAATGTGATGGGCACCCAGACTGTGAAGATGGCTCAGACGAACACCACGCGTGCCCACCGCGCACGTGCCCCACCTTGCAGTTCCGCTGTGATAATGGGAACTGTGTTTTCCATGGCTGGATATGTGACGGTGATAACGACTGTCGGGATGGCAGCGATGAGCGAGACTGTCCCACGCCGCCGTTCCGCTGTCCCAGCTGGCAGTGGCAGTGCCCTGGACACAGTGTGTGTGTTAACCTCAGCAGGGTGTGCGACAACACGCCAGACTGTCCCAACGGTGCCGATGAATCCCCTCTCTGCAGTAAGTCATGCCATATGTTTTACTGAGATTTACAGCAGTATGTAAGACATGTACGGTACTGTTCAAAGGTTTGGGGCGGCATTATTATTTAAGGGTTTTAAAATAAAAGTCTCACCAAGGCTACATTTATTTGATCAAAAATACAGTAAAAAAGTGAAATATTATTACAATTTAAAATAGCTGTTTTCTATTTGGATATATTTTTAAATCATTTTTGAATTTTCAGCATCATTACTCAATTCTTCAGTGTCACATGATCTTTCAGAAATCATTCTAATATGCTGATTTGCTGCTCAATAAACATTTATTCTTATTATTATCAGTGTTAAAAAGAATTGTGCTGCTTAATATTTTTGCGGAAACCATTGTTTCTAGGATTTTTAAATTAGTAGAACAGCATTTATTTGAAATGGAAACCTTTGGTGACATTATTAATGTATTTACTGTCACCTTTGATCAATTGAATGTGTTCTTAAAGGGATAGTACACCCAAAAATGAAAATTCTGTCATTATTTACTCACCCTTAAGTTGTTTCAAAGCTGTTTGAGTTTCTTTCTTCTGTTGAACGTAAAAGAAGATATTTGGAAGAATGTGGGAATCCTAACAGTTTCTGGTCCCCATTAACTTCTCTAGTATTTTTTCCCATACTATGGATGCCAGTGGGGTCCAGCAGTTGTTTGGCTACACATTCATGTTACAAATGCTGTTGTTAGAGCTTAACTTCTCTTGAATCCAGAACATTCATTTACATTGAAATCTTTAATATTTCTATTGATATTGTAGTCAGTCAATTGATTCAAATACATGGAGTATTTCAGTACTGTATGTCGTCTGTGTTATAAATCCCATGTGTCAAATCATGCATGTGTTTAGCTAATCTGGAAATTAACATTGAAATGATCTGTGATTTTCCTTCCATGTTGCTCTCCCTTCTCACAGATGAGCCTTTACCAGGTAGGCTAAATCCCTAATCACCCACAATCCTCTGCATGAAGCACTAATCTATCCCAATATCTGTCTGGCTGTACTCACTAACCGTCCAATTACGATCAGAGTGTCTAAATATGGCAAGATTGTGTGTGTTTAGCATTATAGACACTTAGAGATGTAGTGTGTAGTACTGTTTTTGAAATATGTTACACGTGTTAGTCCATAGAAATGGTACACAACCACCAAAGTAGCTAAAATTTCAACAGTAAGCATTAGGGCTGGGCAATATATTGAATATTCACAATATATCTGCAGTGATTTAAAATATCATGAATATTACTCGTAATTGAAACTTAAGTAGCAAAAACAACATTAGAATTGGTAAGTTTGATTCCTTTTCCAATAGCCGAAGCAATTAATTGATTTGTTTCCTCCATCAATAATGTTCACAAAACTGTCCATTTGACTTTTTACAAAAAATTGTTAATTAAAATGCTTTAATATAAATATATGTAGATAGCTATTGCTGTTTATTTCGATGTATTGCTCTTTGGTGCATATACATGAAAATAATTTGATATTATTCTTCCTTCATTTTTTATTTAGTGAAAAACTGTGTAAAACATGCCTAATTTCACTTCTTGCATTAATGTAATTGGCAAAAATGGTTGTTTGGTCACAAAAATGGTTAATCTGCGTGAAAATATACACTTTCTTGAACATTAAGTTTCCTTAAAAGTGTCATTAGATTAGTTTTGCAAACACTTTTTGTTTTTAAACTCTTATTTGAACTGAAGTTACAAAAGTTACATTAGAGTTGGTAAGCTTGATTTTTTTTTTCTAATAGCCGAACCGATTCATTAATTTACTTGTACCATCAGTAAACTTCACAAAACTGTCTATGTGGCATTTTTTTGTATATTAAAATGTTTGAAATATAAATATATGTAGATAAATATTGCTGTTTTTACATTTCTGTGTATAGGTTTTTGGTGCATATACATGAACATAATAAAATATCTTTGTTCCTTCATTATTAATTTAGTGAAAAACTGTGTGGAAACTTTCTTGATTTCTTGGATATTATGAACTATAATTTTTACTGTATTGTACTTTTTGCATCAGTCTTACTGTAGCATCAATGAGATACTATTATAGTTTTTATTAATAGTTTGAATAATTTTTAGTTTTATATTTTACGCTTTTAATTTTATAAATTTTTAAAAATATGCATATAGAATATATTTATCTTTATTTTACATTTGGTTATTTTAGTATATCAAGATAAACTAAATGAAATATTTCCTTGGCAACTAGCTGAAATAAAACATGTTAAAATAAGTTTTTCCCTCTTCTTTATTTATGTATTTTTTGTAAATAAAATATTTTATTTCAGGTAACTTATTTCAAGTAACAAAAAGGTATTTATTTTTCTTCATGATTTTAGTTAACTATAATAACACTGTTATTGTTAAACATTTAAAATATATTAAACTGGTTGTTTGGGCACAAAAATGGTTCATCTGAATGAAAACAAAACATCTTTTAGGCGATTTTAAACTAAATGTATAAATATACAGATATTGCCCTGCCCTAGCACACCTCCCGTTTAATGGTTGTGCTAAGCATGTTCCCAGAATACCTTGCATCTCCATGCATGCTTTTTCTTTCCATTGTCATTCATCTAAATGTTTCTGCTTCCTCATAGATCAGGAGAGCTGCTCGGATAACAATGCGGGCTGCACTCACGGCTGCATCCAAGGCCCGTTTGGAGCCCAGTGCACGTGTCCTATGGGCTTCCAGCTGAGTAACGACTCGAAGACGTGCGAGGATATCGATGAGTGCCATCCTCCGGGCGTCTGCAGTCAGCACTGCTTCAACGAGAGAGGCTCCTTCCGCTGCCATTGTCAGGACGGATACACTCTAGAGGCAGACGGACGCACCTGCAAGGCCTCAGGTTTGTGCGTCTCCATTGAGCTTTGTGATCTCTGACAGTGCTGAGACAGATATTAGTGGAGTGGAGCCACCAACTGGACCTGCTCAGCGGGGTCTAGTGTAGCCTCTCGGATTACCACAGATAAGATGAATAACATATATGTCAGTCACAAACTTTCTTATGGGGGTAATTAGGTGGTAATCACCAAACAAAGGGTTGTTTATGAGCTCTGCCGCTGACTAGAGTCCATTCCCTCGAGATAACCTGGTGAAAAATGCTGTCATCCGATATACCTCGTCTTCTTTCTGAATGATGCTTTTCAGCGGGACTCTTTTTTTTATACTTCTATTTGGCCATGTCAGATATGTCTTACATAGCTTTATAACTGAGAGCTGATATGTGTTTGGATTCATTTCTAGTCCTGGTTATTTGATATATTTTGAGATAACGGTGTACTTTAAATTATAATCACATATTGCGAGCCAAATATGAAGTACAAAACATTGACTGCCAGTCAAAAGTTGGACACACTTGACTGAATTGTTTCTCATCATTGTGAAAGCCTTTTGATCTTAAGGATTATGCTTGAAGGATTGGAATCGGAGTTTATTTACAAAAAGTTTAATTTTTTTATTTAAAACTAATTGATTTAAAGTTTTATTAGATTGGATGAATTTGACAGGATAGTGAATTATAAGCATCACCATAAGCATCAAAATGTTGTTTGACATTTTGGTCAATTCATAGTTTTAATACTTTCGTAGTTATTTTATAGTTTTGATGACTTTACAATTATTCTGATATTTGCAAAATAGTAAAATAAGAAATATTGTTTTTAAAATTATTTATATATATATATATAAATATTTTAAACACTTAAATATTTCAAATGTAATTTGAAGTATTTTATTATTGACTGAATTGTTTCTCATGATTGTGAAAGCCTTTTGATCTAAAGGATTGTGTTTTATATACAAAAATAAATTGTGTACTTTTAAATGTAATTAATTTTTTATTCAAAAAATTTTATGTTAAAAAATGTTATTTATATATATATATACAGTGGGTACGGAAAGTATTCAGACCCCCTTAAATTTTTTATATATTTCCACTAATTTTCAAAAGTTTGGGGTCAATATGATTTTTTTAAAGAAATTAAAATTTTAATTCAGCAAGGACACATTAAATTGACTGGAAGTAACAGTGAATGTTCCAAAAAATGTAAAAAATAAATAAATAAATGCTGTTCTTTTGAACTTTCTGTTTATTTGGGCACCAAATCATCATTATTAGAATGATTTGCTGAAAATTCAGCTTTTCATTATAGGAATAAATTACATTTAAAAATATATTAATATAAAAAGTTATTTAAAATTGTAATGATATTTGACATTATTCTCTCTTTCTCAATCTGACAGGATCTCGAGAGGCCTTGCTCTTAGTGTCCAGTCGGAATCAGATTGTATCAGACGACATCCTCGCACAGCCAAACGTTATTCGGTCTCTAGTGCGTGATGGGCGTAATATTGTGGCAGTGGATTTTGACTCCGTTACGGATCGTATTTACTGGTCTGACACCACCCAGGACAGAATATGGAGCGCTCACAAAAATGGGACTGACCGCACCGTGGTGAGTGACATGAGGGGGGGTGTTCGTATTCATCATCCTTTCCCATCAAAATGATTGCTACGGATGCAAAAACGCAAAAAATCGAATAAAGTCCACTTTTTTTTATGACGGACAAAAGGAGGCAGTGTGTAAACGTGATTGACACAACGTGAGCTCGTATTTACGGAGCCCCGCACATGGCATGCAGGAAAACAATAGTAGACTAAATCGTGCGCACAATTTCCTATTTCGTTCCCTCGATTTGCTAAATTGTGCACACGATTTATATATTTACCACATTTACTTTTTAATCCATTTTTAAATGATTTCAAATTTCTTAAACATTAATTAAAATAAATTATATCGGCCACCCTGCTTTCCAAGATATCGGCATCGGCTGTCAAAAAACAATTTTAAAAAAAAATTTATTTTGTGCAGCACTTTGGTCGACACTGTCATTATTAAATGTGCTATATAAATCAATAAAACTAAAACTAAACAATATCGGTCGACCACTGTTCTTGACCTGGCTGAGATCAGTCAAATCTGACTCCTGTAGCTCTTTTTGGATGCAGGGTTGCCAAGTCCGCGTTTTTTTCCCCACAGAATTAGGCTGCTTTTAAACTGTTGCCATGGGTTGATTTTCCCAAGTGGGTTAAAGGTTTGAAATGTTGCATAAAATACATTTAACTGAAATGCCTGTATTGAAACATTTTGCATTCAACCTGTGATAAAACTTTCATGGACATTTACATTAACTGTTCCATCCTGGTGGAATGACCTGCCCAGCTCAATCCAAGCAGCTGAGTCCTTAATCATTTTCAAGAAACGGCTGAAGATACATCTTTTTCATCATCATTTTACCCTCTTGCTCTAGCACTCTCTATTCTATTTCTATTCTAACTACTTGTTTTATTTAAAAACAAAAGAGCCTTTAACCCTAGCATTCTCTATTCTTTCTACTTGTTTTCTTTTTATTTATTCTAAAAACAAAACAAACAAAAAAAACCTTGCTACGTATACTGTTAGGCGAATCCCGCCTCCTGCCCCTGCCCACGAACCCCGCCCCCCCCAGTGTCCTCTTTTTGGAAAACTAAAATATGGTCACCCTACTGTAGCTTACTTATTTCTTTATTGTTTATTCGCGACTAAGCTAATTTGCACTGTGCTTTGTATATTGCGTTGGTCGATATGTAAATGAGATCTGTGTTCTTTAATTTGCGCATTGTTAGTAAATCACCCGCAGAAATTTCCACGCCCATCGGCGCTGTTTTGGAATTGCATTCTCGCGCTAATTTGCCCTGTTTAGTAAAACTGGCTCTAAGTATCATAAGTTATGAATGCTTTTTTTTCATATTTACTGTGTGAATAAATAAAACCCCTCTTGTTTCTCAATGAAAAGGTACTGCAACATCCCCACGCAATTACCATTTTTGAGGATTTTGTCTATTGGACCGACAGATACGTCAACCGCGTGATCCGGGCCAACAAGTGGCACGGACAGAACCAGACAGTGATGCTGTATAATCTGCCCCAGCCCATGGGTCTGGTGGCTGTTCATCCTGCCCGACAGCCTGCAGGTACAACACTGATCACAAACCTGAAATACAGCCAGATCAACTAGCTGCTACCTGAGGAGAAATGTGTTATTGTTAGGATTAAATACAGTAAATTTAACAAAAACAAAACATTTCTGAAAGTCACTATGATAAGAAAAAAGGTTTGAAAAGTGCTGAATAATAAGAGCTTTTTGTCACATGCTTAATTGCACTGAATGTGCACTTGTAGTGTACTTCAAATCTCAAAAGTATATTTTTTGAAAACTATACTTGCTGATTATTTTTACGAGATATGTTATGACTGTTTCCTTACACACTTTTAAAATATGCACTCTTTAATAATGTCAAATTAGAAGTTTACTTTAAAATACATGTGTGTATTTTACTTTTAAATACACAGTCTTTAAGTTTTAGTAACCTGTTGTCAAGTTTTGAAGAAGTACACTTATTTTGATGTGATGACTAACATACTCAATCATAATTTAACTGTGTTGAAGTTCATATATGTTAAATTTATTAAACTGCAACTTCATCATTACAAATATACTGTATGACATACGGGTTTCAATAGAAATTACATTTAAGTCTATTTAGGTTTACCATAAATGCTTGTCAGTACAATTCGCTGTACATTTTGATTATTAAAGACAGTAGAAGTAAGTAAGTACTTAGGTGGGTCAAAAAAGCACAGTTCAGCTAATAGCATTTATTGTAAATTTAAACTAGAGTTCATTTTCATTTAAAAGCAATTAACATGCACAAGTGTCTAAAGACAATACATTCAGTTCACACTTAAGTATATTCTTAAAATGTAATATACATAAAAATAAAAAGTATGCTGAAGAAAAGTATACTTTTTTCAGAGTCTAAATACTTGTTCAGAGTCTAAATAATTTATATTTAGTTTTTTTTTTTTAGTTTATTTTAGTTTATTTATATAGTGCTTTTGACAATACATACCATTTCAAACAAACCTGTTAGGTGATGAAAACAGTTTGTGTTTATAATGATTACAATGTAAGGATAATATTTGACAGTTTTTATGTCAATCCAAGAATAACATATTTTATTGTAGAATAGCATGCACCAATGAATTGTACAGTACACAATAAAACCAGAAACATGTTATAAAAAGGAAAGCAGGGGCAATACTGATTTCATGTTGACTTCAAAGATTTGATGTGTTTTTTCCTGCAGGTTATAACCCCTGTGACCCCCGTTCGACCCCCTGCACTCACATTTGTCTCCTGTCAGCGATCGGCCCCAGGTTCTACTCCTGTGCCTGTCCGTCCGGATGGACTCTCACCGCTGACCAGTTCACTTGCGCTAGAGGTACGATATACATCAGCCAAATATTTGTGGCCGATGCGGATATCTAGAGAGCACAGTTTCTCATGGTGTAGGGGCCTTTCCCACAGAAAGCATTTGCACGCATCTCACGCATGACAACATGCCATTATAAAATCATGGCGCTCAAGTTAAAGTTAGTTGAACTTTTAAAAAAACGACTAGGGAGCCACCCCCCCTCCATTCCACTGCCTGTGTCTCACATTTTTCAAAGCAAAAAACTTTTTTAATTTTTAATATTCTTAATTCACCCAAAAATGAAAATGACCCCATGATTTACTCACCCTCAAGCCATCCTAGGTGTATATGACATTCTTCTTTCAGACGAATACAATCGTAGTTATATTAAATAATGTCCAGGCTAATCCATGCTTTATAAAGGCAGTGGAGGATAGCCCAAAATTTGAAGTCCAAAAAATTGCACCCATCCATTATAAAAGAAGTCCACACGGCTTCTGAAGAGACGCGATGCGTGTGTGTAAGAAAACTTTCTAAACCTTAATCTCTAACTTCCGCTAACTGTCGTACGCGCGTTCACGAGAGAGTGACGTCCAGCGGATGATGTAAGACGTTGGCGTAGCGTAAACTCCGGTGAGAATATGCTAGTCTCGCGAGAAACAAGTTTTGTTTACAGCAAAGGAAAACCAGTGTCCTCTTGGCTTATATCGAAATTCTCCGACATTTTTCTTTACAAATCCTCGTTTTATACTACTAATTCATGACCGGTGTTTTGTTTCGCTACATCCTTTGTGCCTCCACGTTCATCACTTCCGCGTTTTGTCACCGCGTTTGTCTATGTCCTACGTCATCCGCTGGACGCCACTCTCTCGTGAACGAGCGTACGACAGTTAGCGGAAGTTAGAGATTAAGATTTAGAAAGTTGTAAATATGGATATTTTTAGGGCTGCAACTAACGATTATTTTGATAATCGGTTAGTTGGTCGATTATTTTTTCGATTAATCGATTAACCGGATTTAAAAAATATATTTTATTGACAAAAAACACTATTCCTACATTCTGCTTAATGTCCTTCATGCCAACTGACCAACTGAATGCTATGAAAACATACAGTGCTTAACAAATTATTAGACCACCTGCCATAATAAAGAGAAAACAAAACACATTTTAGGAATGTCTAATTATGTCTAAATTTTTATTGTCATTTATTGGGCAAATAAACTTAAACAACTAGATAGTATTTATTCACATAACAAAAAATGGCCTCCTATGCCCTTCAAAACAGCTTGCATTCTTGCTGGCATTGTTTATGTACTTTTTGACTGTAATTGGGTATCTGAAAAAAAAACACTATAAAGCTCTCTGCCTTTCTTTCATAGATAACAGCAATAATTATATTATAGCATTAGAAGTAGACTACTACTGTTACTAAAGAGCTTACGCATATTGGAGGACTAACCAATACAGAAAGCTAAAAAATTATTTTGGTAATCACCAGTACTGTTAGTTTAGAGCAGCAGTGGCACAAACCATAATTTGTTACATAAATTTGGTTAAGCATTGTATATAGTGAATATAGTTTAAATCTCTGCATTAAAAATTAAAATAATAATAAAGATGATAAAGACGAATAAAATCACAAACTCAGTGGTAACCAATAGGTAAGAGTAATGTTCTGCAGGAACACGTTCACTTTGATCACAGTCACCTCTTAGTGTCATTTCTTTATCCTGTTAAAGGCGGTTATGAAGCGTCTGATATTTATATTCAGAAAATTACAGTTCCCTTTCAGTCGGTCACTCCCGACATCACTTCGGATGACCG